CATGGTAATGGTCCGAGATAGATCAACTTGAGTGCTGAGAGTTAAAGAGGGGACGGCCTCCCATAAGCATTTACTGCCGACCATATTTGCTTTCATTTATTTAAAATGGATTCACGCTCGGGTACACACAGGGGGGGGGGGGTCGATGGTAATAGTTTTCACTCCAGCAGAGGATTGACGAATCACTGTTCAGTGTTTATTCACATTGACTTTTACAGCAGAATAGTTGGAGGTATGAAACCATCCCATTCCACCGAGCTACAACCACCTCAACCCTAATCACAACTGTCACGATCGTTATTAGAGGCAGACCAAGGCTCAGCGTGATAGGCGTACATCTTTTAATGAGTACTTTACACCAACAACAAAACAATACGTGAAGTCTAAAGGTTCACCAACACAAACCTATACAGAACAAGATCCCACAATACTAAAGTGCTAAAAGGCTGCCTAAGTATGGTCCCCAATCAGAGACAACGAGCTACAGCTGTCTCTGATTGGGAATCACACCCGGCCAAACATAGATATGAACGATCTAGAACAGACCCAATGAAAACTAAACATAACAAGTCCACACCCTGGCTCAACATTTAAGAGTCCCCAGAGCCAGGGCGTGACAACAACACATTAAAACTCTTGTTGCGTTCAAGCTAAGTCAAGCTTTCCTCCACTTGTATTGCATTATCGCTGGCGCCAGCTTCATTGGGTAAATGAGTACTGATGGAATACTGGTATCCTGCAGCTGGGTTTTATTAGGCGGAAGAAACCAGACTGAAACAGGGACTCTCATTTTCGTTTTCAGTTGCACAACATTTTGAAACGTTTTGCTACCCCGATGGTCCCCATTGGTGATTCACTAAAATCAAATCAAATAAACATTTATTTGTCACATACACGTGTTTAGCAGATGTTACTGCGGGTGTAGCGAAATGCTTGTGCTTCTAGCTCTGACAGTGCAGTAATATCTAACAAGTAATATCTAACAATTTCACAACATATACCCAATACACACAAATCTATGTAAGGAATGGAATGAAGAATATATACATATATGGACGAGCGATGACAGAGCGGCATGGACTAAGATACAGTAGAATATTCACCACCTGGGGGCGGCCCGTCAGGAAGTCCAGGACCCAGTTGCACAGGGCGGGGTTCAGACCCAGGGCCTCAAGCTTAATCATGAGCTTGCAGTGTACTATGGTGTTGAACGCTGAGCTATAGTCAATGAACAGCATTCTTACATAGGTATTCCTCTTGTCCAGATGGGATAGGGCAGTGTGCAGTGTGATGGCGATTCATCGTCTGTGGATCTATTGGGGCGATAAGCAAATTGAAGTGGGTCTAGGTTGACCGGTAAGGTAGAGGTGATATGATCCTTGACTAGTCTCTCAAAGCACTTCATGATGACAGAGTTGAGTGCTACGGGGCGATAGTCATTTAGTTCAGTTACCTTTGCTTTCTTGGGTACAGGAACAATGGTGGCCATCTTGAAGCATGTGGGGTCAGCAGACTGGGATAGGGAGAGATTGAATATGTCCGTAAACACACCAGACAGCTGGTCTGCGCATGCTCTGAGGACGCGGCTAGGGATGCCGTCTGGGCCGGCAGCCTTGCGGGGGTTAACACGCTTAAATGTCTTAATCACGTCGGCCACTGAGAAGGAGAGCCCACAGTCCTTGGTAGCACTGTGTTATCTTCAAAGCGGGCGAAGAAGGTGTTTAGCTTGTCCGGAAGCGAGACGTCGGTGTCGGCGACGTGGCTGGTTTTCCTTTTGTAGTCCGTGGGTCACACACAGACGCTAAAGGCTACTGACACAGCTAAAGATTGCTCAATGTCTACCAATACAGTTTTGGGGAGTTTGAGGAACACGTGAAAGCTATTAGGTGGGTGACCCACTGTGGGTCACAAGTCACAACAATGTTAAACCATATCCACTCACTGATCTATAGAGCCATTAATGGGAAGTAATGACTGCTTTGACCACAGAGGGGCAGCATACATCCTAAAATGAATTGTTCAGAGGCTTCCTGGTCACATCCCCAGTAATACAGTAACTTCCCTTGACCTAAAGTCATTGTTTGAACCCCAGCAGCACTCAGGGATGTTGGATATTCCCATTACACACAGTCTTTTTTAGTTGTTTTGGCTCTGTACTCCAGCACTTTGGATTTCAAGTGATAAAGTGCAGACTGTAATCTTTAGTTTGAGGGTATTTTCATCCTTATCGGGTGAACCGTTTAGAAATTACAGCCCTTTTTTGTACATAGTCCCCCCATTTTAGGGAACCAAAAGTATTAGGAGAAATGTAAGTAGTCAAAGTACTCAAACGTTTAGTATTTGTCCCATATTCCATAGCATTCAATGACTCTACAAACTTGTTGGATGCATTTGTAGTTTGTTTCGGTTGTGTTTCAGATTATTTTGTGCCCACTAGAAATTAATGTTAAATAATATATTGCATCTTTTTGGAGTCACTTTTATTGTAAATAAGAATATAATACGTTTCTTAACAGTTCTACATTAATGTGGATGCTACCATGATTACGGATAATTATGAATTAAACATGAATAATGATCAGTGAGAAAGTTAGAGGCAGAAATATAATATCCCCCCAAAATACTAACCTCCCCTGTTATTGGTAATGTTGAGTGGTTAGCATGTCTTGGGGGTATGATATAAAATACTAACCTCCCCTGTTATTGGTAATGTTGAGTGGTTAGCATGTCTTGGGGGTATGATATAAAATACTAACCTCCCCTGTTATTGGTAATGTTGAGTGGTTAGCATGTCTTGGGGGTATGATATAAAATACTAACCTCCCCTGTTATTGGTAATGTTGAGTGGTTAGCATGTCTTGGGGGTATGATATAAAATACTAACCTCCCCTGTTATTGGTAATGTTGAGTGGTTAGCATGTCTTGGGGGTATGATATAAAATACTAACCTCCCCTGTTATTGGTAATGTTGAGTGGTTAGCATGTCTTGGGGGTATGATATAAAATACTAACCTCCCCTGTTATTGGTAATGTTGAGTGGTTAGCATGTCTTGGGGGTATGATATAAAATACTAACCTCCCCTGTTATTGGTAATGTTGAGTGGTTAGCATGTCTTGGGGGTATGATATAAAATACTAACCTCCCCTGTTATTGGTAATGTTGAGTGGTTAGCATGTCTTGGGGGTATGATATAAAATACTAACCTCCCCTGTTATTGGTAATGTTGAGTGGTTAGCATGTCTTGGGGGTATGATATAAAATACTAACCTCCCCTGTTATTGGTAATGTTGAGTGGTTAGCATGTCTTGGGGGTATGATATAAAATACTAACCTCCCCTGTTATTGGTCATGTTGAGTGGTTAGCATGTCTTGGGGGTATGATATAAAATACTAACCTCCCCTGTTATTGGTAATGTTGAGTGGTTAGCATGTCTTGGGGGTATGATATAAAATACTAACCTCCCCTGTTATTGGTAATGTTGAGTGGTTAGCATGTCTTGGGGGTATGATATAAAATACTAACCTCCCCTGTTATTGGTAATGTTGAGTGGTTAGCATGTCTTGGGGGTATGATATAAAATACTAACCTCCCCTGTTATTGGTAATGTTGAGTGGTTAGCATGTCTTGGGGGTATGATATAAAATACTAACCTCCCCTGTTATTGGTAATGTTGAGTGGTTAGCATGTCTTGGGGGTATGATATAAAATACTAACCTCCCCTGTTATTGGTAATGTTGAGTGGTTAGCATGTCTTGGGGGTATAATATAAAATGCTAACCTCCCCTGTTATTGGTAATGTTGAGTGGTTAGCATGTCTTGGGGGTATGATATAAAATACTAACCTCCCCTGTTATTGGTAATGTTGAGTGGTTAGCATGTCTTGGGGGTATCTGGTATACATATGTAACTTTCTCACTCATCATTATTCACGATTCATTTAGGATTATCCGTAATCATGGTAGCATCCGCATTCGTGTAGAAATGTTCAGAAACATATGACATTCTTATTCACAATACAAGTGAGTCCGAAATGGTACAATACATTATTTACAATTAGCCTAATTTATTTTGGGCCAAAAAATTATCTGAAACACAACCAAAAAAACTACTCATAATGCATCCAACAAGTTTTGTAGAGTCACAAGCTGGATGTTGTCATTGCGTGCTAGGAATATGGAACAAATACTAAACGTTTGAGTACTTGAATCCACATATAAGTGAATTTGTCCCGATACTTGTGGTCCCCATAAAATGGGAGGACTATGTACAAAAAGTGCTGTAATATCTAAACCGTTCACCCGATATGGATGGAGACACCCTAAAATTAAAGCTGACAGTCTGCACTTTAACCTCATAGTCGTTGTATCATTTCAAATCCAAAGTGCTGGAGTACAGAGCCAAAACAACCAAAAAATGTGTCACTGCCACAATACTTTTTGACATCACTTTATCAGGGGCATATTCAGATGGGGTGCGACATTACAGATAGTTCAGATAGAAGTGCATTGAGAGGTGCAGACAAGCCTCTGTGTAGAATATGAACTAGTCCGCTGCTCTATAAGCCCACATAATGGTTATATCTACTTCACTTTTACTGACTTTATTGTCCCCGGGGGGAGACCGTATCACGTACACCTTTAAAATGTAGTGGTTCAACATACTGTGATGATATTCTGTCTGCTACTACCCGGATCCATCAATAACTATATGTTCATCCCATCCGAGAGAGAGAGAATTGTTCTAGGAATTGTTCTGAGAGAGAGAGAGGCATATCTCAAATGTTCTGAATGTTGCACATGCCGCAACACACCCAAAGGCACACAGAGCCCTATACATAATCAATGTTTGGCCTTTGCTGAACCAATGAGTTAAATCCATTCTGAGAACGCAGAACTGGCCTTAGATCGGTATCTGGGGGCAACAAAATTCAAAACAGCGGGAGTAGGTGGCGCCAAAGCAGCGGGCAGTAGTCCTAACGCACTGAGCTCACTTCCGCTTATTTTTTATTCGACGGTCGCATGCATCCGTCTCCATTTTCAACAGGCAAAGCGCCGCGACAGGAGCACCAAGCCGCCCTCGTCAGCAGCCGTGCGGTAGCAGCGAGTGCTCTACATGCAAAGCAGCGAAATTAATCTGCGGAAATAAGTGGATATTTACGCACTGCTTACGTAACTTTACTGGACTATTTATTCTACTGTTGTTATTTTTTTTTCTTCTATCCACCCTAAGTTTTTTTTTTAATTGCACAATTCGCATTTTGCATTTTTAACTGATTTAAACTAAAAATGGAGAATCAAGAAAGCAAGTACCTCCCGGAGCTCCTCGCAGAGAAGGACAGTCTGGACGTGTCATTTACGCACGCGATGAAACTTTTATCTGCAGGTAAAAACAAATGTCATTGGCAACATTTTGCTGCTTCATTCGGTCAAAAGGATTTATATTTTATGGAGTGCGTTAAGGTTTTTTGCTATGTGCGTTTTGAAAAGGACGCACCTTGGCTGGACTGTGTTGGCTAGACGGGACGGGTATAGCGGGTCTGTAAACCCCTGCAAACAATACATCCCGTTCATAGCTTGGCTACGACCCGTCACCACACCGACATCCCGTTCATAGCTTGGCTACGACCCGTCACCACACCGCAGTTAGGCTACAGGGTGACACGTGATCTAGACACGGGTTTAGCAAACGTTGGAAACAAATGGTTGAATGGAACCATGAAAATAGCTTTCCTAATCGAGTTTGTGAACTTCCCCTTCTGAAATATTTAACTCCCTTGAAAATGCGCACGTAGTAGCCTAGCCGAAATCCCACTCTCAAAGCTGCAGCTCCCTCTATAAAAATGGGCCAAATGGGCTTTCTATAGCCTATGTCCGCAATCCCAAGAGAAATACGGAGTTTGACAGGATGTTCTGGGGGTGTTTTTGTCTGCCAGACACAGTGCAGCCCTTATTGTGTGTGTGGTAGTAGGTCCTAGCAAACCACCATCACCAAAGCTCAAAAAGACTGTTTGCTGTCCTCTGGGTGGTAGGCCTAATCCCAAAATATGTTGTATTTTGGATAGAGAGAATGCTATTCAGAGCTGCATGTAGGTCACTTTGAAACTTGTATAATCTCATGTCAAAGCTTACCAAGTGTGGTTATTTATTTTGAGTAGCCTACTATTGAAGCGAAAGTTGCGATCGTGGAAAAGACAACTAGGCTACGTTTTGTATTGACCAGCAACACCCGCCCAAGGGTAGATTATTGAATTGGACAACAGTAGGGGTTGGAGGTCAATTTGATACATTGTAACAGCGTATGTCGATAAACACATTGTAACAGTGTCAATTTGATACATTGTACCGTGTGTGTCGACATGGTAACAGCGTCGACACATTGTCTGTGTTTGTTGTTACATTGTAACCGCGTGTGTAACAACATGTGTATCGCCACAGCGTAAGAATGTAGCGTTTGTCTGCAAAAACACGTGTCCTATTGCTATTCCGCCAGTGAGAGACGCTATGTGTTTATGGGCCGGTTTCCCGGACACATTTTAAGTCTAGTCCAGGACTACGTTTAATCTGTGACTGGGAAAACGGCCCTTTCTGTTAAATCAGATGATCAAAATATTACAGATAAGATGCTGAAAGGCTTTTGTCTGGAGAAGCGCAACAGTGAGTTGTTAAACGTTTTTCCGAAATGTGTATAACCTAGAGTCCCAGCTGGCTCTGACACACTTTTTCAGTGAGGAAATATGTTTTTCCATCGGTCCTTTCAACCCATGTGTTTTGCATTATAACACAGACCACCTGGGATGGAAATCTAACGCAGTACTGTATCTTACCATTTGATGGGGGTGTGGAGGTAGTTTATAGATATTGTGTAGCGGGATGGCCTGAATTGGGAGAGAAAAAAAAAAAAAACGTTAGTCAGTGTTTCCTTAATTGTGTATGTTGTTGGGATCTCTGGTGGATGACAGTCAGTCAGTGTGTCTTTGAGATCACATATGAAGGCATGATGGTTCATTGCTGCTGGATAAGTGGCTTGTTTTATTTAGTGCCTCATCAAGATACTGTATCACAGTGAGACTTGGAAATGCCAGGGTAAATCAACCTGGTGCTACTGACCTTGACTTATGAGCGGATGAGATAAAGGTTTTCTGTCATTAAGCTCATTCCTAGAGACTCAGACTGGTATCCGGGCTGGGACTTTGTCTGTCGTTAAGCTCATTCCTAGAGACTCAGACTGGGATCCGGGCTGGGACTTTGTCCAACACCTTTAAACGTCATCAAAGCTGGCTGAGCGGTGGGCTATATATGCCTACTACACGGGCGGGCATTACAGGTGTAAAACAGGTTGCATAAGTTTGCTACTGTGTACATCTCACCTTGGCTTTTGTCCCTCATGGAGTCTTTGTCCTGTACTGATAATAATTCCGATTGTAGTCCTAGATACGGCGCGCTATATAGTGCCTATAGACGACTGTGGTGGTGTGTGACTGGCCGGTCAAAAGAGTACAGAGCAATAGATGCCTAGTGCCAGTCCAGTGTGTGTGTGGAGTACAGCGGCCCCTCAGACACCGCTGCTAGCAGCAAACCTCTGGCTCCCAGCTGCTTAGTGCAGTTGACATGTTTGCTCGTGGCATGCTGAGACACTGTCAAGGCAGGGGGGTGTGAGGCGGTGGTCTGAAATGAATTGTGTTGTTTCCATACTGTAGATTTAAAGGTTTCTTCCATGGCTGTATGACTTCTAACTAGTCAATGGTCTGGGCAATTAAAGGTGCAATATGCAGAAATCGCTTCTGCCGTTTCCTGGTTGCTAAAATTCGATTAGTTCAGCTAATTTCAGTTTATTTGACCAAACAAGCAAGTATAGTGTAGAGAATCATTATACCATCTAAACCGCTGTGAAATATATTTTCAATAACAATTTTTTTTTGTATTTTCAGCTGTTTGAAGCTGGTGTACAAAATCAAAAGTAAAAGACGCAAAAACGAAACGTAAGAATAGAAAGCATAGAAATAGCGCACATAGAACAGACCTACCGCTTCTTAGACTGGCTTTCAATGAGAACGACAGATCTATCATTCACATTTCTATGTGAAGTTAGTCGGGTCGCCCAAAAAGTTACATATTGCAGCTTTAATGTTTTCACAGAAATTACATTACATGGTAACTGTATTGTTATAACAAAGTAGGATGTGTTTGAATCAATTGAATTCTCCATTGTAGAAATTGAGAGAATCCAGAAAGGTGAGCCCAAAAAGGAAGGAGGAGACACGTACCTGGACCTTTTCACTGTCAAGAATATCAAACTGAAGGAACGCGTGCTCATACCTGTCAAACAGTATCCAAGGGTAAGCCTTCTCCCTTTTCTCAAACATCTCCTCTCCTCTTTTCTCCTCTCCTTCATTCAGCAGCAGGGCTTGAATTACATGGGTGACTAGGGGTATGCAGGCCATCCCAAAAAACAAACCACGGCATGTGTTAATAAGTGTTTCAGAGTGTCTTAAGTGTCTAAATGTTGACCCCCCCCCCCCCCCCCCCCCCCCCCCCCCCCCCCCCGCCACTTCCCCACCACAGGTTTCTGTCTGGGAGTGGACAGAAACAGCACAATACAATATTATCATGATACTTGGGTGCCGATACGATGTATTGCGATTGTCACGATTCTATATGAATTGATTTTCGATACTGCGATTTTATTGCGATTCGATGTTCCAAACATATTGCTCATCATATGTCTGCTGCAGAAGGGACAAGAAAGAGAGAGCCATGAGAAAACGAGTTTCGATCAGTCACGGAAATAAATGTGCTGAAACAAATTGTGTTTTTGGTGGCAGATATAGCAAACTAGCGCAAAAATAATATTGCAATATTGTCAAAACTATATGATATATGGTCAAACATAATATCCCCAATATGTAACTGTATTGATTTCCCCAACCCACCCTCCATCACTAGTAGGCGTAGGGCAAATATAAGTGTAGTTAAAAGTGGTTCACCGAACTATGCTTCCTTCTGTGATGAGTCATTTTTTTCTGAGACGGCAAGGCGTGTGTAGGCTTCAAAGGCTTTAGCTGGGTGGGCTGATGCATTGATCCGTCGCTTGTGTAGGTGACTCCACTCAAACCAGAGAGACTGTCAACTTTTCTCTAGACAGGGGGTTCCCTCAAATCAGAGCTTTGAGGTCTGGAGTAGTTCTGGTTTTATTTGAATAATGTCACTAATTGGTCAGAGATTCCGGCCGCCCAGGGTTCTGAGTCGGTACATGATTAGAAGGAGAGAGAGAATGAGAAGTGTTTTTTAGTCCGTCCAGAATTATAATTGAATAGCCCGTGCTCTCAACCATGTTTTAGGGATTAAGAGAGGTGACACATTTCACCGTAAAATGCTTTCCCTCCCGAGGGACAACGATTATTAATCCATTTCCTGGTACCTCATTATTTTAAGTATCACTAAAACTCTGTATTTACATGGTGATTACATGGTTGGCAGAACTTTGCACAGTGTAACCACAGTGTGTGTGTGTGTGTGTGTGTGTGTGTGTGTGTCTGCAACCATTCTACCAGACTGCGGCTTGCACAATTGTTCCTTTATAGTTGCTTCATGTTTCAAATGCTTTGGTTGCCTAGTTCCTTACGATGGTGAAGGTCTGCCACATTTGTATTGGCAAAGGCGATATGACCCATAGTGATGTGAGGGCTGACCTATAACCCGCAGTCCCCGCGGTTATATCCCCTGGACGGGCGGGTTTAGGGTAATCGAATATTGTGTGGATGAAGGGTGTGTGGACGAAGGGTGGGTGGGTTGAATAAAGAAGAAATTATACACAAATAAATCCATAAATGTGTCATTCATATCTATAGGCTACATCAAGGTCTCCCCCCCCCCCCCCCCCCCCTCATTAATTTAGGCTATCTGGCATTAGTACGTAAGCCTTGGAGCCTAACTGTACGCGCGCCAAATAGCTTACACACCAATCGCCAAATGTATTTGGGAACAGGCAGAAAGAGTTAATGTCGATCCACGGAGGGCAAAAAGGACAATGTCTGAGTTTAATTTCAGTAAGAGAAAATCTGCGAAAGGAGAGTTTAAAAATAAAGAGAAGGGAGGGGCCAGAAAAGTAATATTTGGGAAGTGGTAAAAGAGGATGATAGCAGTGCTTCAAATAGGTCTATGGTACGTCAAGGGAACTGTAGCCTACTGTTCAGATGGATTAAATGGAAACTGAAATCTGGACACTGACTGTAGGGCTATAACCTCTCACATAGCCTTAATATTAACTCCTGAAGAATTAAAGAAACCAAATGTAGGCAACATTTTGACTTGGGAACAAGAGTGAAGAAATAGGATTTCGTTTTTTCAGCGTCTTGGGAGAATGCAAATGCAGTTCGATAGCGTCTGTAAAGGTGCTGTCTTTATCAGCGTCATAAAAGCTGATAGTATTTCAACCACATAAAATATGCATCCAAGCCGAACTGAAATCTTATCAGAAACATGTTGGGTCGTTTTCACAGCTTTCTATTTCCTTACAACCGGTCAAACTGATGTCATTTGGAAATTCTGCACAGAAAATCTTTCCCGTTTTTTTGTTGAGTTAGTGCATTTTCTCCCCGGTCCCTAAACATCTTTGCTCAGCAAAAGAAGCAGAGATAACAGAGAACTGCATCAATGTCAGCTAGATTGAAGCATTCATTCTATTGATTTATAACGTTATTCTGGTGAGCAAGGGTTTATTTAGTCTTCTAAGGCAACATATAATGACAGAAGAGAAGCTACATCTATCTAATTATAGACAAGGTGACTAACAAATAGCCAAAAATGTTGGAAATTATAAGCAGAAACATCTAATTTAGGCCCCCCAAAAAAATCCTGCACCCCTGTCAAAAAATCTTTCCGCCGTCTCTGGCTGTATCCTACAGAGCATGTTCTATATTAGCTGGTTAGGGGTTGGGTGCGGGCCTCTGATTTCCACGTTATCACATACATGTATAGTCAGGCGGTTGCGGATGGGTTATTAGCAATTGCGGGTGGGTGCGGGTGACCAAACAGCTGACCCAACGCACCACTAATTTCCCAAACTGAAACACTGTGCTTTTTATGCAACAAGTACAGAACACACAGCCATGTGCTTCCCTCCACTCTGGTACACAACGCTCCATGTAGATATTCTGTGGTCTAAACCTGTCTTGTTTCTCCTGTTTCCAGTTCAACTTTGTGGGAAAGATCCTTGGCCCTCAGGGCAACACAATCAAACGCCTTCAGGAGGAGACTGGGGCCAAGATCTCTGTACTGGGTAAAGGTTCCATGAGGGACAAAGCCAAGGTGAGAGAGCTGATGTACACCTTTTACACACACCTGTCATATTATACACACCTGTCATATTATACACACCTGTCATATTACACACACCTGTCATATTATACACACCTGTCATATTATGCACACCTGTTATATTATACACACCTGTCATATTACACACACCTGTCATATTATATACACCTGTCATATTATATACACCTGCCATATTATACACACCTGTCATATTGTACACACCTGTCATATTATACACACCTGTCATATTACACACACCTGTCATATTATACACACCTGTCATATTATGCACACCTGTCATATTATATACAGCTGTCATATTACACACACCTGTCATATTATACACACCTGTCATATTATGCACACCTGTTATATTATACACACCTGTCATATTACACACACCTGTCATATTATATACACCTGTCATATTATATACACCTGTCATATTATACACACCTGTCATATTATACACACCTGTCATATTATACACACCTGTCATATTATACACACCTGTCATATTATACACACCTGTCATATTATATACACCTGTCATATTATATACACCTGTCATATTATACACACCTGTCATATTATACACACCTGTCATATTATACACACCTGTCATATTATACACACCTGTCATATTATACACACCTGTCATATTATACACACCTGTCATATTATACACACCTGTCATATTATACACACCTGTCATATTACACACACCTGTTATATTATACACACCTGTCATAATACACACACCTGTCATATTACACACACCTGTCATAATACACACCTGTCATATTGTATACACCTGTCATATACACCTTTATGTACAGTGAGGGAAAAAAGTATTTGATACCCTGCTGATTTTGTACGTTTGCCCACTGACAAATAAATGATCAGTCTATAATTTTAATGGTAGGTTTATTTGAACAGTGAGAGACAGAATAACAACAAAAAAATCCAGAAAGACTCATGTCAAAAGTGTTATAAATTGATTTGCATTTTAATTAGGGAAATACGTTTTTGACCCCCTCTCAATCAGAAAGATTTCTGGCTCCCAGGTGTCTTTTTTACAGGTAACGAGCTGAGATTAGGAGCACACTCTTAAAAGGGAGTGCTCCTAATCTCAGCTTGTTACCTGTATAAAAGACACCTGTCCACAGAAGCAATCAATCAATCAGATTCCAAACTCTCCACCTTGGCCAAGACCAAAGAGCTCTCCAAGGATGTCAGGGACAAGATTGTAGACCTACACAAGGCTGGAATGGGCTAACAAGACCATCGCCAAGCAGCTTGGTGAGAAGATGACAACAATTTGTGCAATTACTCACAAATGGAAGAAAACACAAAAGAACTGTCAATCGCCCCAATTACTATTTACAATTCATCACGTCATGGGTGAGCTCACCATTGATCGAAATAATTTAGTGAAAGACCTTCTAAAAAATCGAAAGTAATCCGACGATGGGTAGTTTGTGCGAGCCACCATGTTTGTTTTTCCGCGTCAACCAAGGATAAGAAGAGAAGACAGGATGAGGTTGGTCTGTTGGTCACCTCATTATAACTTCTTTGGTCTGACAGACGTTTACGTGACACCCACAATGCATTGTATAACGTCAACAACCATGGCGCCACACATAGCTCAGTTGGCGTAGTCCCCTGTAGCTCAGTTGGTAGAGCATGGCGCTTGCAATGCCAGGGGTTGTGGGTTCGTTTCCTACGGGGGGGGGGGGCAGTATGAAGAATGTATGCACTCACTAACTAAGTCGCTCTGGATAAGAGCGTCTGCTAAATGACAAAAAAATTAAAATAATTGCTGCCAAATAGCTCATCATAAAGCAAATGTCTGCACACTTGATCTGCGGAAACACTGGGGAGGTGCTTGGGCTCTGGTCGAAGAGAGAAGTTTGGCCGGCTCAGTAAAGCCTCAAACATAAATTGTCCGCAACAGTGAAACAGGCTACTTATATCTGAATTAATGAGGCGGAATACACCTCAATTCAAACTATTGTTAGAAAATAACATTTGTTAGAAAATTATTTTAAATTGACAAGTTGAAACACAGCCTATAGATAATTGTTACGGTCGTTGAGAGACGGGTCAGACCAAGGCGCAGCGTGAAATGCATACATGTTTATTAAACTGACTAAACATACAAAAACAACAAAAGGCAATGAAACGTGACGTCGGAAGGCTATACACTAACAAGCCCAAACTCACCGAACACAAACAAGATCCCACAACACAGGCAGGAAAACTGGCTGCCTAAGTATGATCCCCAATCAGAGACAACGAGCGACAGCTGCCTCTGATTGGGAATCACACCCGGCCGAACATAGAAATACAAACATAGAATGTCCCCATAGAAAACACACACATGATATTCACACCCTGACCAAACTAACTAGAGTTCTATAGATCAGGGCGTGACAATAATTAGCAGGCAGCGCGTGTTAACTGTCCTGTTGCGCAACAATCACATTTTGGAACAGTGAGTACATTCAGACATCAAATGCATAAAACAACTCACGCTGGGGTGACCGTTAGAGATATTTACATTACATTTTAGTCATTTAGCAGACGCTCTTATCCAGAGCGACTTACAGGAGCAATTAGGGTTAAGTACCTTGCTCAAGAGCACATCAACAGATTTTTCACCTAGTCGGCTCGGAGATTAGAACCAGCGACCTTTCGGTTACTGGCACAACGCTCTTAACCACTAAGCTACCTGCCGCCCACATTTGGAACCCACATGTGAAAAGGTTAATAACCTCTCTAACTGTCCTGTGTTGTTGTGTTTCAGGAGGAGGGTCTGAGGAAAGGTGGTGAGCCCAAGTACGCGCACCTGGCTATGGAGCTGCATGTCTTCATCGAGGTGTTTGCCCCCGTGCCCGAGGCTTACCTACGCATGGCACACGCCATGGAGGAAGTCAAGAAGTTCCTCTTTCCTGTGAGTGGAATAGACTCTTATTAAGTGTGGTGGTTCTGTAAGATGCAGTTCTGTGTTTGATCCCTTTTATTTCCTTGTCTGCCCCTGCAGTACACTCTAGAAATACAAAAATAAAGGTGGAAGTTGGAACCAAATAAGGTTCTTGAGAGCGCTGCAATACGGGAACCATTTTAGTGTCTCTGAAGAACCACAAATGGGAAGGTTCTTTGAAGCACCAGACAAAAATCCCTCTAGGACCAGAGTTGCTGTATGGTTTTAAGCCATATTTGCATATTTCCCAGGGTGCCTTTCAAGATAATTTTAGAGTTACCAGTACCACTCATGACTGTGTTTGCTAGTGACAGAGACATGGTTGTTGCATTCAATCATTTTCAGTCCTGTGGCATTCACCAAGTGAGATCATAAGTGAACATGTTGTCATTAAAATCATATACTTTAAGACAATGCAATACATATTTCATAAGGTCTTCTTTTGAGGGCCTAGTTTTACTCTAAACAGTGGCCTGAAACGTATAGTTTGATGAACCATCTAAACTGGAACTACCCTTTCAGTAACGGTTCCAATAAGTCCAAGTAACAGATTGGAATAGTTTAGAAAAATGTATGTATTTATATTTGAGTAGCATAACATTAATTAATCAATCAATGTACATGCGAAAACATAGATATTGAAACAAACAATTCCTAAAAATCAACCTGCAATAAAGCATGCTGGGAAATATGATAATGATGGGCGTGGTTTTGAACACTGGGGTTCTTTTTACACCACTGAGTGTTAATTTAACTCTTTACAGTGTTTATTTAACTCTTGAATCAACACTATAAATGTTACACTGAAAAATCAACACTAGTTAAGACTGGCCAATTAGCTGTGTGCTTTGAAAGGGACACATCTGCAGGCTTCCATACATTTCAAGAACCTTTTAGAATTCTATAGAACCGTAGACGCCACGACAAGAACCCCACACTTAACTCAAAGGTTCTTTATCGGACAAGAGTTCTCCAAGGAACCTTAAGAGTTGAGGAAGAACCATTTAAGAAACGTTTTTTTTTTTTCAGTGTATCTTGTCAAGGTTGTGATCATCAAAAACTGTAGAATTTTTATTAGGCAAGTGCAGGTTACTTTTCAAGACACAAAGAAAATTGCTATTTTTTTTTTCATTATTTGTATGAAATGGTTTTGATACCTAAAGAGTTATCAAATGCTATTGATTGGTCTGTTTGACACAATAGACCAAGCAAGCGCCACGTCATTAGACGGACTGAACGACGGATGTGTCTGCTTACCTGGAATAACCAGCCTTGATAGGGCAGCGAGCCTGAGCCTACAAACTATCAGCTTAAAAATAATTGGGACACTTTCACCGTGGCAGCACTTTCACCGTGGCAGCAGTGTGCCTCCCATATGGCTCTACATGACCGTAAGCCTCCTGTGTTAAAAGAGGCCCCAGAGGAGGGTGGTGCTGCCCCTGGACACTCATCTAACTGCCGAGGTACATTGGGGCATCTGGAAAACAGCTTTTAACTGCTTCACTGGATGTGTAGCAATGCCAGCATAAGCAGAATTCTCACGAAGCCATGTTGTTTACTCCCAGGTTTCATTGAAATTAAAGAGGTTACACATACAGGTTTTGCAGGCGTTTTGTTCTGGCGTAGGCCAAGATCAGTGCACCGATACGAAAAAAATAAAATAAATGGTACATTTTTTGTACAATGGTACAAAAAAAATATTTAAAAACATTTTGTTATCCTAGATCTGTTTCTGTGGAGACTTTGAGCTACAGCATTCTAAGAAAATGTCCCCGAGCTCAACTCAGGTGGCCCATTCCTATAGCATTGGGGACTGCCATGCTGCCTCTAATACTTTGGAAGGATTCCAAGCTGGAGAATTATGGTCGGAATTCTGGAAGCTGATGAACTTGTTTGAATATTGCTATCCTACAGATGTAGGATCTTAATTTGATCACCCTGTTGTTGCAGGAAATGTCCTTTACAGCAGGAAATGCAAACTTGTATTGTATTCGAGGCTTCTAAAGTTAGTAATTTCCACTTAAACATTTCTGACTAAAAAATGTATCAACCCCTACAAAAATGTCCATGAATGATAATCTACACAATAATTCACATTTCGTCTGGCTGCAGGAATATTTTCCTGCTGTGAGAAACTGGTCAAATTAATATCCTATATCTGTAGCTAGGCAGTATTAACTTAATTTACCTGGAAAGAAGACGCATAGATCATATAGGTTAGACTCGTTTGTTTGGTTCGTATGGGTAAATGTAAAGCAGTGATTTGGTGTAACAGTGCGATTATCAAGACAAACTTGTTTAGATGTTATTGTAGCGCTTTGTATTACGTCCATCATCCATCAGCTTAGCTAGCTTAATTTGTCTAGTTTGAAGTGGGTCGATTTTTTCTAAACTGGGGAAGGCAGTCTGTCTCTCTCCCTGGCCCCTAAAAACCCTCTGTTAGCCTTAATAATGAGTTAGCTTAGGTAGGAACGGTCCAGTGTATAGCAGCGTATTAACTGTCTACCTCGTTAAACGAAGGCAATGCCGTGTTGCTCTTGGTTAATGCGGAATCAGACAAAATGGTTGTTTTCTGGGTGTTGTCACTCTAGAGATAAATGGAGAACAGCCAGCCTGCCTGCGCTCAATATTATATTATATAACATATAATAATAATATATATATAATATTATATATATTATATAACATATAATAATATATATATATATAATATTTTAGTATCGCAGCTCCCTATTACTTGCATAGTGACCAGGGCTGTTATTTATCTGTATTTATCTAGTAATGGGAATAGTATCAGGATGGGTGCCATTTGAGACGCATTCTCAGGGGGAAAAAAAAAAAAGCATTGATTGGGTCGCGGTTCTACCCCCAAAATGACTCTTTGGAGAAAGACTATGTTTGATGCTTGGTGTGTGAATGGTTCTCTACTGCAGGAGTCTGTATCATTTATTTATCTGTTTCAAATTTAACCTCTGCAATAAACAGACGAATATATGGTAGATTTAGCACTAGGGTACATTCACTAGTTATTTTACCTTTCTTGCTTATGTAGGGACTAGGGTGGTGCGTATGCGCACACACACACACACACACGCACACGCACACACACACACGCACACACACACACACACACACACACACACACACACACACACACACACACACATGCACACACACACGCACACACACACACACATGCACACACACACACACATATGTACACTGTTTTAAAAGGCTTTATGAGACAAGCTCTTTATTGCCTGCTGCCTTGCTCTTTTAGTCATTAGAGGAAGGCTTTGTATCACTTTCCTCTCTCTCCATGTTACCCCTCCTCCCCATTTTTTTTTCCCTATTTTTTTCTCCCTCATATTCCCTCCGTTCCTTCAGACTCATCTTTTCTGTTTTTTCCCTTCAAGTCTTCCATATCTCTTCTTTTTTTCACCCCACCGTCCCTATCCTCTTTCTCTTCTTTAGTTCTCAACTCTCTCCTCTCCTCTTCTGTCGCCCTGCCTCGATCGATCCCCTCGAACTTCGCTCTTGACAGCGGTAGCGTCGCTATCTCTCTCTCTCCTCTCTCGAGCTCTCCTCTCTTCTCCTCTCATCTCCTCTCTTCTCTCTCTCGCTACCCCTCTCTTTCTCTCTTCTCCCTTCTCTTCTCTCTCCACTCTCTTCTCTCTATCTAGATCTCGCTCTCTCTCTCTCTTGACTGCTCTTCTCTCTGATACCTCCGGCTTCCCTTCCCCTTTCTATTCTTCTCTCGGCGGATGACTCTGTCAGGAACAGTTCATGGAGATGGGTTATCTGAACGGGGGCCAGGATCACGGGCCAGGTGCCCCACGAGGCAGAGGAGGACCACCGGGCCCTAGGGGCCGAGGAGGACCACCGGGACAACGAGGAGCACCCAGGTAACCAGACACACAGACACACAGACACACAGACAGACACACAGACAGACTCATGATGACATTTATCAAGGTGTCTGATGAGAAGTCTGATCAAATAAAGCTTCTCCTTCCTCCTTCTTTCTTCCTCCATCTCTCCAGGGGTAGAGGTATGCCCCCACGTGGAGGAGGTGCACCCCGCGGCGGGCCAGCCAGAGGCGGGGTAGTGAGGGGGGCACCGGCAGGAAGAGGGGGACCTCCAGCCGCCCCCGCCAGAGGGGCAGCAGCGCCCCGAGCCAGACCCCCTGCCCCTGGGGGACCACCGAGGATGCCCCCTCCACCCCTCCACCAACACCAGAACCAACAGCACCAACACGCACCTGAACAATATGAGGAATATGTAAGTTAAAATGTGACCGACCGCCTTGACTCGTCTTATGTAGCAACATTTGAAATTGTGTTTTTTTACATTGGATAAAAGCAGAGACACAGAGCTACAACATGGTATATCATGCACTGCATTTAAGGGAACAATGGGAAAGTAATTCTGCTTTGGAAGTTGATAAACTTGTAACCTCACTTTTGAGAAAATGGCCTTTGAATGTTTTGGTACCTACTGGAGAGCTCTTCTTTGTCTCCACCCATTCAGCATCGTTCACACCCTCTTAAGCGTTAGCCCCACCCATCTCTTTAAGTGTTGATCCGAGCGTTCTGTGCTAACAACAGCAGTCAAGCACCCAAACTAACTGGCTAACGTTGGCTAGCTTGCTAGCTACTTCCAGACATAAATGAGAAAACAGCTCACTGACCATTTTACTCGCCCTAGCAGAGCTGGTTAGGCTGTTTTTAAGTTATCCAGAGCGTTGGTGACTGCAACTGTGCTGCTGGCAACAATTTACGCTTTTTTGCCAATGTTTACTGACACCGGCCATATTCAACGGGTGTTGAGCGTTCATAAATTTGCCAGTTATTCTGCGCTCTGACACACTCAGACGAGACTGCTCTGAAATCAGAGTAGATAACCAAAGCGAATTTACCAGCTACGTCTATCAACAGTTGTCACGGTGACATTCTATTGAAATGGTTACTTGCAGAGTGGAGTCTTTTGTTAAGACATGTAGCTAGCTAGCTAGGTAAACAATGAACCATAATCCCAACTCATGACGTTACTACCCTGCATGAATCTGCAGGTAGCTAACGAACCAGGTTCAATGTTAGCTAGCTAACATTAGGCTATAACTAGCAAAGCAAATGGCTCTGCGATACAAATAATATTACTACACAGATCATACACGTAGCGTTAGCTAGCTGACCTAACAACAGCAGTCAAGCACCCAAGCTAACTGGCTAACATTGGCTAGCTTGCTAGCTACTTCCAGACACAAATGAGAGAACAGCTCACTGACCATTTTACTCGCCCTATTGAAATGGATACTTGCATAGTGGAGTCTTTTGTTACGACATGTAGCTAGCTAGCTAAACAATTAACCATAATCCCAACTCATGATGTTACTACCCTGCATGAATCTGCAGGTAGCTAACCAACCAGGTTACATTTAAGCTAGCTAACATTAGGCTATAACTAGCAAAGCAAATGGCTCTGAGATACGAATAATAAGATTATACACGTAACATTAGCTAGCAAGCCAGCCAGCTAACGTTAGCTAGCTAGCTAACAGTACACTTTAACTTTAAATGAAAATGACTTTCTGTGAAAATTAGAAACATGTAATATCCGAAAATGTAGCTAGCTAGACTATCTTACCCGTATACATCATGGATGGACGCTTCTCCCTGTCACAGATGCAATGTTTGCCCGTAGTTTGAAGATGTAATCCGGAGACAGGTGTTTTCTCCATCTCCTTTGATTTCAAAACTCGGTCGAGCAACACTTATGCAGTTCTACTACGCAATATATATATTTTTTAATCCGCGTTAGAAGGATTACCTACACATACTTACCAGCTCAAATAGACAGAAGCGTGCTATATGGCAGACCAATCTGAACTCATTTCTCGGCATGTCCAGCCCACTCATTATCTCAGCCAATCATAGCTAGCAGGAAGGTTGCTGTCTTTATCTGTGGCTAAACCAACTAGGCTCATAATTTAACAATTTTATTCATATTTAAAGATGGCATACAAGTTTGTTATTAAGGCACATGAAAGTTCACATGTTCCAGAAGGCATTTCTGCCCACAAACACATTTTGTTTAAAAAAATAAAAGTTTACGTTCAAATGGCTCTCCTGTGAAGTACTGACCCGCGACATACGCCTAGTTTCCTGAAACGAGTCACAAATATCAATTAATTTTAATACGACTGTTTAGTCCTTTGTCATTCCATGATACATGTATTATTCCAAGTTTTCCATGATGTTTATTAGCTAGTTGATTTTTCGACCCATCATGTTATAATTATGAAGTTACATTGTAACAATGATTCAGAGAACATGTAGGGTCAAACCTTCATTTTGTAAAGCTTTGAAGCCTATAATGAACAATTTAAGAATGTAATCTGGTTAGTTATTTAACCCTAATTTATCCAGGTTAGTTTAAATCTATTTCACCAGGGAGATCAGATCCAGGCCAAGACAGTGCTAGTAGTGGGAGCTGACTAGTAATGTGTTATTGTAGAGAGCATATCGAGTGAAGCAAAAGCCTTGCTAGGTCTACCTTTTATAAGACATTGGTACAATGGCATTTTAAGAACTACCCCTGTTATATTTGGATTCACATTTATTTTATGTACCTCTTTTTATTTTGTATTTTGTATTTTTTACCTTTATTTAGTTCTGATTTACAACTGCGACCTGGCCAAGATAAAGCAAAGCAGTGCGATAAAAACAACAACACAGAGTTACATATGGGGTAAAACAAAACATAAAGTCAAAAATACCACAGAAAATATATATACAGTGTATGCAAATGTAGCAAGTTATGGAGGTAAGGCAATAAATAGGCCATAGTGCAAAATAATTACAATTAGTATTAACACTGGAATGATAGATGTGCAAGAGATTATGTGCAAATTAGCAAAATAAATAACAATATGGGGATGAGGTAGTTGGGTGGGCTAATTTCAGAAGGGCTGTGTACAGGTGCAGTGATCGGTAAGCTGCTCTGACAACTGATGCTTAAAGTTAGTGAGGGAGATAAGAGTCTACCAGCTTCAGAGATTTTTGCAGTTCGTTCCAGTCATTGGCAGCAGAGAACTGGAAGGAATGGCGGCCAAAGGAGGTGTTGGCTTTGGGGATGACCAGTGAGATATACCTGCTGGATCGCAGACTACGGGTGGGTGCTGCTATGGTGACCAATGAGCTAAGATAAGGCAGAGATTTGCCTAGCAGTGATTTATAGATGGCCTGGAGCCAGTGGGTTTGGCGACGAATATGTAGTGAGGACCAGCCAACAAGAGCGTACAGGTCACAGTGGTGGGTAGTATATGGGGCTTTGGTGACAAAACGGATGGCACTGTGATAGACTACATCCAATTTGATGAGTAGAGTGTTGGAGGCTATTTTGTAAATGACATCGCCGAAGTCAAGGATAGGTAGGATAGTCAGTTTTACGAGGGCATGTTTGGCAGCATGAGTGAAGGAGGCTTTGTTGCGAAATAGGAAGCCGATTCTAGATTTAACTTTGGATTGGAGATGCTTAATGTGAGTCTGGAAGGAGAGTTTACAGTCTAACCAGACACCTAGGTATTTGTAGTTGTCCACATACTCTAGGTCAGACCCGTCGAGAGTTGTGATTCTAGTCGGGCGGGCGGGTACAAGCAGCGTTCGATTGAAGAGCATGCATTTAGTTTTACTAGTGTTTAAGAGCAGTTGGAGGCTACGGAAGGAGTGTTGTATGGCATTGAAGCTCGTTTGGAGGTTTGTTAACACAGTGTCCAATGAAGGGCCAGATGTATACAAAATGGTGTCGTCTGTGTAGAGGTGGATCTGAGAGTCACCAGCAGCAAGAGCGACATCATTGATATACACGGAGAAAAGAGTCGGCCCAAGAATTGAACCCTGTGGCACCCCCATAGAGACTGCCATAGGTCCAGACAACAGGCCCTCGCATTTGACACATTGAACTCTATCTGAGAAGTAATTGGTGAACCAGGCGAGGCAGTCATTTGAGAAACCAAGGCTATTTAGTCCACCAATAACCTCTGGGTTAAGGTTTGGTAATCGCAGCTCAGTACCTCTGGGTTAAGGTTTGGTAATCACAGCTCAGTACCTCTGGGTTAAGGTTTGGTAATCGCAGCTCAGTACCTCTGGGTTAAGGTTTGGTAATGGCAGCTCAGAACCTCTGGGTTAAGGTTTGGTAATGGCAGCTCAGAACCTCTGGGTTAAGGTTTGGTAATGGCAGCTCAGAACCTCTGGGTTAAGGTTTGGTAATGGCAGCTCAGAACCTCTGGGTTAAGGTTTGGTAATGGCAGCTCAGAACCTCTGGGTTAAGGTTTGGTAATCGCAGCTCAGTAACTCTGGGTTAAGGTTTGGTAATGGCAGCTCAGTACCTCTGGGTTAAGGTTTGGTAATGGCAGCTCAGAACCTCTAGGTTAAGGTTTGGTAATGGCAGCTCAGTACCTCTGGGTTAAGGTTTGGTAATGGCAGCTCAGAACCTCTGGGTTAAGGTTTGGTAATGGCAGCTCATGGTACACAACATTGCAGTAAAACATTGGGCGGCAGGTAGCTTAGTGGTTAAGAGCGTAGTGCCAGTAACCGAAAGGTCGCTGGTTCTAATCCCCGAGCCGACTAGGTGAAAAATCTGTCGATGTGCCCTTGAGCAAGGCACTTAACCCTAATTGCTCCTGTAAGTCGCTCTGGATAAGAGCGTCTGCTAAATGACTAAAATGTAAAAAAATGTAAAACCAGCTCTATTACAAACTCTATAACAGACTCTGATTGCTCCATAATGGAAGTTCTTCTTTGCCAATTTATTTACAGTCTAGAACTCATCTACAGGTGAATGGAGTTACAGTCTAGAACTCATCTACAGGTGAATGGAGTTACAGTCTAGAACTCATCTTCAGGTGAATGGAGTTACAGTCTAGAACTCATCTACAGGTGAATGGAGTTACAGTCTAGAACTAATCTACAGGTGAATGTAGTTACAGTCTAGAACTCATCTATAGGTGAATGGAGTTACAGTCTAGAACTCATCTACAGGTGAATGGAGTTACAGTCTAGAACTAATCTACAGGTGAATGGAGTTCAGGACAAGGATCACATATAGGATCACATATAGGATCACGGAAAGGAGCACGGAAAGGAAATGATCACATAAAGGCATGCTTTTCTGCCCTCTCCCTCTGCTAATCTTTCTGACCCCCTCTCTCTCTCTCTCTCTCTCTCTCTCTCTCTCTCTCTCTCTCTCTCTCTCTCTCTCTCTCTCTCTCTCTCTCCCTCTCTCTCTCTCCCCTTCTCACTAGGCCTATGATGAGAGCTACACAGAGCCAGCGTACGAGTCATACGACAATTACTACAGTCAACCACAGGCGTGAGTCACCAATCTCTCCATCTATTGGCAACAAACCACACACATGCATACACACACACTAGCGCACACTCTGGCCTCCTTGCTCTTCACGGTTACACTTACCCTACTTACTAACTGGATTATTGAGTTATGGGGAACGTAGGGACTGAAATAGGCTATATTTCTGAATTCATACGGATGAACTTTCCTACCCCTGTGGTAGGATTATTTTGAGTCTACGTGTTCTTTAATTGGAGAAAGAGATGGGCTGCTGTCTTCAGCTAACTGTGACTAGGTTATCGCTTGGCTAACATCAGTTATTAAAGCTATTCTATTTACATATTAAGTGATTTTTATGAATGAAATGTAACTCAAACTCGCTTGGGTTTGCATTTCTGGTTAGCTTGATAAGCTAGTTAGCAACCTACCTGGTTAGCTTGATAAGCTAGTTAGCAACTTACCTGGTTAGCTTGATAAGCTAGTTAGCAACCTACCTGGTTAGCTTGATAAGCTAGTTAGCAACCTACCTGGTTAGCTTGATAAACTAGTTAGCAACCTACCTGGTTAGCTTGATAAGCTAGTTAGCAACCTACCTGGTTAGCTTGTTTAGCCGGCTAGCTTGGTGTGCTTCTATTTGAAATGTTATTTTTCCCATGTTTTTCCTCTTAGAGAGCCAGAGTACTATGAATATGGACACGGAGAGGCACAGGAGACATATGAACCCTACGGTAAGACATCACTACTCCACTCTAAAGCCAAACCTCTCACCCTTTATGGGTGAGGGAAATCTGTTTTCTGTCTTGATTATTGCTCTCGGCGTGTGCCAACATGTGGTTTTTGTTTCTGTAGTCGGTAAATTTCACGAATAATGCTGACAACAACAATGTGTTCAATACATCCTTGTTGAAGTGCGCTTGGGAACCAGAAGGAAATTGTGTCAGTTGGAGATGTCTACTTGACGGCCAAGCTCGTTTTGTAATTTCTGTTTTTGTCTATGTCTGTCTGTTCTGTGTGTGTGTGGTTCACCCCTCTAGCCCAGCACGACTGGAACGGGGCCCAGAGAGCGGCACCGGGGGGAAAGGTCCCACCTTCCAGAGCGGCTAAGGGCCCTTACCGAGAACACCCCTATAGACAATACTGAACTCACCATGACAACGCCTAGCGACCAACGCTACTACCGTTAACGAGTTGCCCTGACAACCAACCACCAACCTGTCTACCACGGCAACTCTCGCTCTAAGCAACCTTCGAAAAAAGTAATTGTCCGTTTGGTTTTGGTTTGGTATTTTCTACTACGCTGGACTTTTACATACAGAAAATGAGGATCTTGACTGATTGAAGCTGGTTTGATATTTCATTCAGAGCGACCCTAAAGCATTTTTTAGATGGGTTAGAGAAGATAACTGTATTTTAGTTTTAGTTTGGTTTGAAGTTTTAGTTAATCTGTTTTTATCTCTGACCCTATCTCTCCCTTGGCTTTTTTTGCATTGTTGACCGTAACCTTTTTTTAAAAACATTTTGGATTTAAACTCATTTCTAGTGGAGTTAGAGACTGCTTATCCACTTGTTAGCATCTTAAGAAAACCATTTTAATTATTTTGTTAAAAAATACTTTTAAGGGACAGTTGCAGATTCCCATTTAGGCTACATTTCAAAATTCTGTTTTAATATAGCAAAGTAAAAGAAACGTCAACGCTGTTTCAATTATGTAATATAGACCAAACAAAAACTTTAAATCAAGTCAAAGGAAACAGTAAAAACAAACAAATGTTAATGGGATTTGCAGCAGCGATCTATTCATTCTTGATTTATAATTCATATTTGTTTTAAATAGTATTTAATTAAAAGTTGTACATTTAGACTTAGGCAGCAGGGATTATATAATGATATTTTGTCATTGTACATTAGAGTTTTGAAATATAGGCCTAATAACCACTGTTGAGATGGACTGTCCTCACATACTTCATTTGTTTATTAAAGTTGTTCAACAATTTAAGTTAATTTAATTATGGCTCTACAGTCAATTTCTTATTAGAAGCAGAATATGGTCTTAGATTGGCCTCATGATAAAAGAAAACATCACGTGTCAGAACAGGATCTTATTGGTTGATTCGAGTCTATAAACTGCCTGTGAAAAATGACGCAATGAAGGATTGGGACAAAAATCTCCACATGGGTTTTCTCTTTATACAGAGAAGGGATCCTGCAGTTTATTAATCTGATCTCTTGTACATACTTAAAAAAAACGTCCAAACTGTACGTATCCACTATTCTGCCACTGGTATATAGTGGCTTGCGAAAGTATTCACCCCCCCCTTGGCATATTTCCTATTTTGTTGCCTTACAACCTGGAATTAAAATGGATTTTTGGGGGGGGGGTTGTATCAGTTGATTTACACAACATGCCTACCACTTTGAAGATGCAAAATATTTTTTATTGTGAAACAAACAAGAAATAAGACAAAAAAACAGAAAACTTGAGCGATCTTTTAAGTCATACATTACATTTTAGTCATTTAGCAGACACTCTCATCCAGAGCAACTTACAGTTAGTGAATGCATACATTTTCATACTGGCCCCCCGTGGGAATCGAACCCACAACCCTGGCGTTGCAAACGCCATGCTCTACCAACTGAGCTACAGAGGGCCACATATTCTCAATTGGATTGAGGTCTGGGCTTTGACTAGACCATTCCAATACATTTAAATGTTTCCCTTTAAACCACTCAAGTGTTGCTTTAGCAGTATGCTTAGGGTCATTGTCCTGCTGGAAGGTGAACCTCTGGCCCAGTCTCAAATCTCTGGAAGACTGAAACAGGTTTCCCTCAAGAATTTCCCTGTATTTAGCGCCAACCATCATTCCTTCAATTCTGACCAGTTTCCCTGTGGGGATGAAAAACATCCCCACAGCATGATGCTGCCGCCACCATGATTCACTGTGGGGATGGTGTTCTCTGGGTGATGAGAGGTGTTGGGTTTGCGCCAGACAAAGCGTTTTCCTTGATGGCCAGAAAGCTCAATTTTAGTCTCATCTGACCAGAGTACCTTCTTCCATATGTTTGGGGAGTATCCCACATGCCTTTTGGCGAACACCAAATGTGTTTGCTTATTTTTTTCTTTAAGCAATGGCTTTTTTCTTCCGTAAAGCCCAGCTCTGTGGAGTGTACGGCTTAAAGTGGTCCTATGGACAGATACTCCAATCTCCGCTGTGGAGCTTTGCAGCTCCTTCAGGGTTATCTTTGGTCTCTTTGTTGCCTCTCTGATTAATGCCCTCCTTTCCTGGTCCGTGAGTTTTGGTGGGCGGCACTCTCTTGTCAGGTTTGTTGTGGTGCCATATTCTCTCCATTTTTTTATAATGGATTTAATGGTGCTCAGTGGGATGTTAAAAGTTTCTGATATTGTTTTATAACCCAACCCTGATTTGTCCCTGACTTGTTTGGAGAGCTCCTTGTTCTTCATGGTGCCACTGGCTTGGTGGTGCCCCTTGCTTAGTGGTGTTGCAGACTCTGGGGCCTTTCAGAACAGGTGTATATACACTGAATACATGTGACAGATCATGTGACACTTAGATTGCACACAGGTGGACTTTATTTAACTAATTATGTGACTTCTGAAGGTAATTGGTTGCGCCAGATCTTATTTAGGGGCTTCATAGCAAAGGGGGTGAATACATATGCACGCACCACTTATCCGTTACTTATTTTGTAGAATCTTTTGAAACAAGTAATTTTTTTTCATTTCACCACCAATTTTGACTATTTTGTGTATGTCCATTACATGAAATCCAAATAAAAGTCAATTTAAATTACAGGTTGTAATGCAACAAAATAGGAAAAACACCAAGGGGGATGAATACTTTTGCAAGGCACTGTATGTACCCTCTACATTAAAATGCATTATGCTCCATGTGTAAGGCTTGCCTAAATAGGTAACTACTACATCTGTCCAAAAGATGTTTTGCAGCAGTTTGTCAATAAAGACTAGTTTGTTTTTCTATGAAACTTCCGTAACTTGGTTTTATTTCTTGAATCTTTTTTAAATAACATTTTAATAGTTAGAGGTGTTTTTAATTTGTATTTCTCTTCAAAAACACATTTTTTTTAAAATTTAAATGAATTGTATTGTAGTCTGAAGACGTTAACCTAAATGATGTCTTTGATTTATTATTTAAAAAGCAGTACGACTTATTCTTTCTCTCTCTTTCTATACTTTTAAAAAGGAGCCCAGAGGTAAGACCTCTAAAATAACCTGGATAGCTTCCTAATGTGTTTAGAGCTCTAAAGCATTGAATGCCTGGGTATGTATAAAGACTTTTTCAATCCATCTTACCTGTGGTCGTAGACGGTAATGAGAAATGCATTGCTAGACTCTTGTTAGTAAAATTTAACTGAACTCCCAACCATTTAAGTCTTAGGTTTCAGGGTTTGACCCGATGTTCATGTCGTGTGTAGAGGCCGACGCGGTGGCTACTTTTAGTAAAGAGAGTAATGGCAGTGCAATGGAGAGGATGATTTTTAACCGTAATCGCTCCACTATAAAGGTAACCCTAACCCTAAATGTGTCATTTGATAGTGTGTTTATACATTGAATTAAGCTGCTGGTAAATGCGTGCAATTTAGTAAAAGAAGAATTCTAGTCATGTCAAAAAAAGACAAATCAAAAGTAAAGAAAAAGTAACTTCCAATATTATTGCAGTTGTAGATTTACTAAAATAACTTGTATGTGTACTAACAAAATATCAATAGCGTTATTAATGCAACTCTTGCTAAAATGAAAAATCTGCAAAGTCGAATCTTTATCAATATCTTCTGAACCAGTTGAGGCGCTGCTACTTTTTCTTTGCAATATTTGTGTGTAAACATTGCATATAATGTAACACGTTTTACACATTATGTAGAAAGTAATGGACAAAAGCTTGAGTTGCATGACTACAACTACTCTGTCGATTTTGCATGGTTTTAACTGAACTGTCCACTAGTGTTTTTCCATCGGTTATTTAGTGTGTCTTTTCCCTCAGGTCCAACTGTTAGTCAGTCATGGACCAATCAGAGGGTGGCTTACTGGAGAGATGACCAATCAGAGATCGGCTTACTGGAGAGATGACCAATCAACGGTCGTCTTACTGGAGAGATGAGACCTTACGCACCTCAGGTAGGCGTTTGTTTCGCTAAGGGGTTTTGGCAACCTAGTTTGCCAGTGTCCGGTTTCTCGATATCGATGGAACTTAGGCTTACGAGTGTTTTTAACGATGCATCTTTCCTGCAATGGCTGACAGAACGGTCACTAAGTGCGTCGTTGGAGCATGTGTCGATACTGATAGGATCGAAAAGAAAGGGAGCGCTGCTCTCGGATCAGCGTTCTCCATTCAAATCTTTTCCTTAACATTATAGTTATTTCACAATCAGCTCCTAGAGAGATATTACCACCTGCAGCTACAGATATTGAGGTGGCTTATCCTAATGCTAATGAATAATAAATCACAGATTTAAATCTCATCATCGTGCACACGTTACACATCATTAAATATATTGAGACAAATTTCAGACGGTAGCAAAATAGAACTCAATTGATTGTGGTCCTCTGCAGCTCGATTGGTAGAGCACGGCGCTTGTAACACCAGGGTAGTGGGTTCGATCCCCGGGACCACCCATACGTAAAAATTTATGCACACATGACTGTAAGTCGCTTTGGATAAAAGCGTCTGCTAAATGGCATATTATTGAACATGAAATGTATTTCAATATGACTGAATTAGGCTACTGTAGACTACTGTTTATATTTTAATGCAGTCATCTCGGTTTTTCATTTGAAGCATATTTTTTATACGTCGCTTGCAAAGACATTGGCAACTTTGTATTTGTAGTCAACATTGTTCTGAAGTTATCGGCGGTCACATGCATAGACATTAAAACCAGAACATAGAGACGGATAAATCATGTGATTCTATATTTAGCAGAGCTCTTCGGTGCGTCAATTTAAGTAACATAATAAAAACATCCCCATTAGAATCTGTCAGTTTAAGCTAGAGATATCAGGTTTTTTTTGCATTTGGATGCATCTTAATAGAATACCACTGTATGAGTCATAATACCCATAAAACCTAGCGGTCAAACAGGGAAATGGTTCCGATGGTTTTTCCACCATTCATTTTTCCCCATAGGGGATTTTAGAAACACTTAAAATAAGGGCTGTGTTCCGTGTAGGCATACCCTGGTGTGACGTTTTGATAACAGTGTAAATCTCTTTAGGACAAGGTGACTTTAATCAATATATTCGGATCTATTTACTCTCAGATTCGAAAATCTATTTACTCTCAGAGCTCATCACCAAGCTAAGGACCCTGGGAATAAACACCTCCCTCTGCAACTGGATCCTGGACTTCCTGACAGGCCGCCCCCAGGTGGTAAGAGTAGGTAACAACACATCTGCCACGCTGATCCTCAACACGGGGGCCCCTCAGGGGTGCGTGCTCAGTCCCCAGCTGTACTCCCTGTTCACTCATGACTGCATGGCCAGGCACGACTCCAACACCATCATTAAGTTTGCCGATGACACAACAGTGGTAGGCCTGATCACCGACAACGACGAGACAGCCTATAGGGAGGAGGTCAGCGACCTGGCCGTGTGGTGCCAGGACAACAACCTCTCCCTCAACGTGATCAAGACAAAGGAGATGATTGTGGACTACAGGAAAAAGAAGAGGACCGAGCACGCCCCCATTCTCATCGACAGGGCTGTAATGGAGCAGGTTGAGAGCTTCAAGTTCCTTGGTGTCCACATCACCAACAAACTAACATGGTCCAAGCACACCAAGAAAGTCGTGAAGAGGGCACGACAAAACGTATTCCCCCTCAGGAGACTGAAAAGATTTGGCATGGGTCCTCAGATCCTCAAAAGGTTCTACAGCTGCACCATCGAGAGCATCTTGACTGGTTGCATCACTGCCTGGTATGGCAACTGCTCTGCCTCCAACTGCTCGGCCTACAGAGGGTAGTGCGTACAGCCCAGTACATCACTGGGGCAAAGCTTCCTGCCATCCAGGACCTCTATACCAGGCGGTGTCAGAGGAAGGCCCTAAAAATTTTCAAAGACTCCAGCCACCCTAGTCATAGACTGTTCTCTCTGCTACCGCACGGAAAGCGTTACCGGAGCGCCAAGTCTAGGTCCAAGAGGCCTCTAAACAGCTTCTACCCCCAAGCCATAAGTCTCCTGAACATCTAATCAAATGCCTACCCAGACTATTTGCATTGACCCCCCCCCCCCCCCCCCCGCCTCCTCTTTTACACTGCTGCTACTCTCTGTTTATTAT